CAAAATCTACAATTTACTGAAAATACAAAGTTTTTAACAAAAGCAAAAATGTTCCTGTGGTTCAGTAAAACCTGTTTTCTAATATGAAGAGCTTGCACTCAAAAAGACATTAAGCTTGGGACAAAGAAAGTATTTCCTAGAAGCTCAAAATGAGACAAACTTTTAAACTATGAAATGGCATGCAAACATACAGATTTGTTGCTGATTATTTCTCTCTTTTATAAAAGACTTACTGGGCAAGAGTAAAGCAGGTATTTTTACATGTTTGTTTATGCAATGACCTCTCCCCTGACACTAAAAATGTCACATACAGAACTTTTTATCAGCTGTCTGTCACAAATGCTGCTTCTGTAAATTTGAATACTATGCCCTTCAGACCCTCATGACTGGTGCAACAATCAACCAACTTTCTGAAAGCTTAACAAAATCTAAATTTGCCCATTTTGCTTTACAGAAAGTATACACAAGTTTATAAATCCACAGCAGGGGTATTACAATTATATTAACATCAACTCATCAACTGGATTCAAAAGATGCTTGCATTCTGTAAGGACCCTATGGCTGCTGCCCCTTCAATAGTTCTATCAAGGCACTGTACAGTCATTAAACCTCCAATATTCTCCAAGATGTGCTGAAGAACATTGTGAACGTGCTTAAGTTGTTTAAAAAGCCCTGAGTCAGAACTTTCATATTTACCACAGGCTTGACTACAAAAATGGCACGTACTAAAACTTCTGCAGATAACAGTTTTGCTTTGTCAACACAAACAAAGTACGAAATAAAAAGACAATAGTATGAATTCCAGCAACTTATGCAAGAACGATATACAATGTACACTGTGGCAAACCCAAGACTTCTATTGTAAGCAATTTATACAGTCAGTAAAAAACCTTTGCAATGTATTCAGACATCAAAACTGATGAAAGCAAAACAAAACAAAATGCATTCCCCACCCCTTCCCAAAGACGAAGAACAACTACAGAAGAATTCAGTACTTTGACAGAAAGGAGGTAGCACTGCTAAAAGTTAGGCTGTAGTGTCGTTGGTTTTAAGTGAAAACTTGACCCATGCAGCACAAAGAACAGGACAGGCTCATCGGTTCACCAGCTGCTACTGGAAGAGTAAAATTAAGTTTCTGACATTTGATTTTGTAGAGGAAACTTAGATCGCTAGCTTAAAGCAGCTTCTTCAAACAATTCAGCATTTACACAAACTGCAATTCTGCAATTAATACTGCTAAAAATACGTAGGCATATGTAAAACTTCATCTCTAGAAAATATCTACACAATAAGGACTTGAATCAGACTATTTTTAAAGACCATTTAATGTCTTTAAAAGAAGCTAAAATACCAATTGTAAGACTATGCTAACAAGGCACAAGTACTTGTGCAAATCTGCTATATCCTCACCCAGTCCAAGTTAAGAACATCACCTCCTAATCAAACTTTCACATTTACAAAGTAACTTGTTTATTCTCTTGCCAGTCTAATTTTCAGTATCCACTTCAGCAAAAAGGGATTGCTCCAAACCCCCGACACACAAGTGCACCATATTACAACAAATGGAAAGCGGGTGATAATAGCCCAAATTTTGAGAAGTGCCATATGAACTTGGGGTAAGTGACAGTAGGTTTGGGGAAAACAGTCATTCACACAAAAGTTAACAAGCTACAACTATTTAGTATATGCTGTTAGCCTTTTAGGTTGTCTTCATACTTTAAATCACTCCGTACTAATGTGACCATTTATATATTTTACTGAATTGAAAAAATGAAGTTTTTTACTTAAAAATCTGAGCATACCTCACATCTGAACAATATATATTATTAGGTGTGTTCTTCATTATTCCGTGAAAAATTGAGATATTAATCCAATTTAATTTAGAAACTGTTATTCAATACTGGGGGATAATAATAATAAAACTTGCAAATCTTACATTTTGTAATTTTACAGTATATTAGAGATAAATGCCTTATTGATTTCTCTCTCATTTTCGCTTTGCTCCCTACTAACAGTGACAATAATAATGAGATTTACACTTTCATCTTTTGCTGAGGACACAGGCACAATGACATATCCTCAACTCTCCTACTTGTTATGATCCCCTCTGGCTTTCAGCTGAGCTTGTTTTTCATCCTTCAATTATTTCGGTGTTTTCCAATTAATGCACATTGCACAGATGATACCAGACTAAATGGAGTGAATGAACTTACTAGCTTCCTCAGCAACACTAGTTCACCTTCTGCACCAGAATCCAAAGACAGTGTGTGAATGAATCTCTATATCTACTTCCATAAATGATAACGGATTTGCAAACAATTTTCCTTATTAAGTTTTTTGAGAGGCAAGCACTGTATAGCCTTCCCAGTAAGATACAGCTCTTTCCCCTGTTAGTAAGAGGCCTATATTAGTAATTTAAGCATGTTGGTTAGCTTACCTAGTTGTTCTAACTCAGCTGTTCTCATGGCACCATGACAGCATCATGTTAAATCCCTGACATACTTTAATTTCAGCTGGCACACAACATAGCTCAATGAATCCAATCACAATGATAAGCCACAGCCACACCCATCTGGTGTGACCACAGTACAGGCTACAGCTGCTCCTATAGCAATACCTTCAGCCACTGCCTCTATTTCCACAGGACCATGATCTGAGTGTTATACAGTAACCAACAGCTGGAAAGTACAAGCCTAATAGAGCACTTACCTACCTATGCTACAATCTCTGCCTCCTGCACACAAGGAGTATTTAACATTCGACTCCAGTTTCCCACCCAGGACGCTTTAGATTTGTTCTTACTCAGCTGAATTACTCAACTGATGTAAAGTTGAAATACTTTCAAGTAATTCTGGCTTGTTCCAGTGAAAAAGAATTAGGAAAATGCCAATTGCTATACAGAGGTTTCAGTTTTGAGCTGTATTATCATGAAGAAATTCACTATGCTTTTGTGCTGACAACAATTTATAGAGGTTCCCCTGAAGAATAAATAGGACACAATATTCAAAATATATCTAACCAAAGCCAGAGGAAACACGTACAGATCTGATTCACTACAGAGTAATACTCAGAATGGACTGTCAAATGGCATGTCCTACTATAAAATTATTTTAATAGGAAGACTGACAGGAAACTGAAGCCTACTTCAACTGTCAAACATGCTACATAAAAAAAAGTCAGACTTAGTGACAGGTGTATTGGCCAAATGAAAATTGCAGCAAACGCTCAGGTGCACTCAGCTTAAGTAAAAATAGTCAAATGCTGAACTGAAAAAAAGACTTAGATTGAAAACTTTCCAAAGCTCCTTGAAATCTTGATATTTTTTAATAGGAACCCAAGAAGCAAGAAAAGAGATGGCTATTTCATATGGCCAAAAAGGCAGATATACAGATTATATAAAAACAGGTGACTACTAGCATACAAAACAAAACAGACAACTACATTGACTTCAGATTGCGTCCAATGAAAAAATACTGAAAAGAATGATGAGCATTTGCAATTCTGGATCAGGATTAAAGATGGCTATAGAAAGGCTGTGCACTACATTATAACATGTGCTATGTTAAAAGCTACTCTACATACATTTTTCCAATATATCACTGTAGTTGTTTCCTGGAAAACTCCATTCAATGTTTAAAACTGACTAGTTAAAAGTTCATCTATCTTTACTGTTTACTGGTAATATTCTTCTGGGACTTTTGCTACTATTTGCACAATTCAGGCATATCAACATAAGCTTCAAATGACTAAGGTCAAGTTTCTGAAGAGGTCACAATTTTATGCCTTTACCCTTACTTGGATCTTCCTCTGAACTGTCCCTTTTGCCACATTTATGACATACGCAATGAGAATTAAATGAGAAATTAATCTTGGCTTCAAGTAAGGCACCTAAGTGACTCCAGCATGGATTTCTTTATTGTTCTGCAGAAGCATATCCAAATAAAGTCTGCACAATGGCAAAAGGCTACATAAGCTGTGCACTCAGAAAACTGCTGAATCACTGAGGAGTAAGCACACACATTCCTTTCAGCTACAAGGGATCCTTAAATCAGCATACTTTCTTCCATCCAAAAAGATGGAAGGACGTAGTTGTTATCAAAATGTTAATAGTTTGCAGTTCCCGACAGTAGCCTTTGCAGGATCACCTCTTCATGCCACATCAGCGACAGCTGCTTCCCTTCAGCCAACTTCAACTAACCTAGGCATAGCTCATGAAATTCACTGCTCTGTCAGCAATATCTTCATTTGCAGTATTGCCTGTTAATGTCCACAGATAAGTCCTGGTGTCAGCACCCAACTTAGATGAATAAGCAATATTAAATCTTCTCTTTTGCTGTTGACACTGTTTGCCTGGAGACAATAAAACTAATTTAAGAGAGGACATCCTGCAAAATCTCTAGTTTTTCCTAATTCACAGGCTCAGATTTTTTAAGTGGCCCCGCATACATATACACACACACTTCATATATGCTCCTCTACAACTCATCAAATTCCCTCATCTGAAATTGATAACTGACCCATTGCTCCAATGTTTTCCTTTCCAGTCAAGTTAAAAGCAATTCCATCCAAAATCATGTGGCTAGCAGAATTAAGAAGTTCACTATTTAAGTTAGCTTGAGCCTGTTAGACTAAAGTGCAATTTTGGGAACATAATATTTCTAAATAAGATTTTTCTTTTTACTGTTTCCTTCCCAACCCATCCTTTGCAACAAAGGGCACAATAAAGTTAGAATTACCTTAACATTGTATTTTGAGGTCTGATCCTATAGGATTAGATTGATATTTATTACTACCATGTACACATTTCGTACTGATTTTGCATTACTGCATATTTCAAGATGGAAACTACTGTGAATAATAACTGTCACAGGAAATTTGAACATTGTTCAGAAAAGCATAAAACAAATTACTAATTATTTATTTGATATTAACTGACAATATAAAAAAAAACCCTTGACAACTGACAAACATTAAAAAAAACATGAACGAAACCAAGTAAGATTGTCCCTTTACACTTTAAGGGGAAGAAGACGACAAAGAAAATGAAAAAAAGACTGCTTTAAATTAGCTTAGATGTTTATCAAGAGTAAAGCTAAAAGCTGACTGTTCAAATACTGTTCTCTTATTTGGTGTGTTCACAGTCTTTAAACAATTACCATGCAATGAACCTGTGCTACAGTATTAGAAATGTTTTCATCAGAACCCTTTACTGCCTTTCACACTGATGGAGATTCAGACCATCAAAATGTCCTTATTGTTTCATAAGCTAATAAAAGACACCAGTTCCACTGCTCAATACAAAAGGATCCTTCGTTCAATCGCCTTGCGGCATATAGGGCATTCACTCATTCGGTCTCCGCAGAGTTGACATGTTCCATGGCCACAGAGAAAGATCATGTTCTTCAGACGGTCCAGGCAGACAGGACACATAGTCTGCAAAAGATTTTGACAGGTTACATAGTTAATGGCAGTAGAGATACAGTACTGAGTATGCAATACATAAATTATTGAAATTTTACAATAAATACGCCACCTTAAGCATATTGCCATTGCACAACGCAGCCACTAACCTGAAAACTAGGTATTTTTTTTCTAAATCACATTTTTACTTCACACTGACTTGAAATAATTGTGCTTTTCCTACCCCATCATTACATAAAATCTATGCAGCTTTTTTTAAAATATGATCCCTTTAAGTAAGGCTATCCAGCAGTAGACTGACATCACATTTTCAGTATCATTACCCATGTTTACAACATTAAGCCATTCTTCAATGTTTCCCTTTATGCCATGTAATCTTCCGGGAACACACACAACACAAACACCTTTATGTGTGCAATGCTGGGGCAATCATTCATCAATTTCTTCTCAGGGTACCTAGCCACTCATATACTTACCTTTAAACACCAAGCACTGAACACATGCAGAAGTAATAAAAATGCTGCATAATTAATATTACACATACAGATTCAATACTGGTAATTCCAGCCCTTGCTCATCGAAGTTATCTAGCTTTTCAACCAAAAGAACATCTCAGGTATAAAATGAAGAGCAATTTAATAAATCCATGACCTTCAGTTACAACAGTAGCACAGCAAACTTTTAAAATCAGTTTCAATTGCTGAACGTGAAAGTGACAGCCAATGCCTCAAAAAGATCTCCTAAAGTTCTTCAACAGAAGAGTTCATTTTGTACCAGGTCACCGAGGAACAATATCCTTCATCTTTTGGCACACGCAGAAATTGAAGTTTTGGTAAGGCATGTTCCTTCACCATAAACATATTGCAGCCATATTAGGATTTAATTTATAACCATTTATCTAAGGTTAGTGAATGAATAGATATTATAACGGATGATAATTGTTAAGACCACTCTGTAGTCCAACAAATCAAATCTACGATGTCTTCAGATCTGAGACACACTACTCATATGTAACACTTATAAATGTTGATCTCATATATAATACGAAATACTGACGGGGCTCATATTTCAAATGCAAATTCATTTTATCACCACTTTGCACCTGTGACTTGTTGTGATGACCATACTCATCACTAGGGGTTCACCTCAGTTTGTTCATTTCATGAAAGAGAGGATCCACAGCAGGAACCCTATTCAGTAAAAGCCTTAAAGCACACCTTCTATGTAAGCAGTAGGTTTTACTTCCTAGGTTAATTAGCTTTGTGAATTAAAAAAAAAAAAATAAATCACCATCAGTCTGCTTATGTAGAGTTTTAATTGGCATGGCATCTGGCCAGATGCCTGTTTTAATTTCCAGGATACCAGTATAATGGTCTAGAAGGAACGTAAAACTTCCAGACAAATTCTCAAACTAAAAATTAGCAGAAGACCAACTATCTGTCAGTGAGTCCTGCTAGTTTTCCATTCACACCAAGTCATCACCTTCACATCCCAAGAAGGCAATCAGAGCACCCCTCCTCCAGTAACCTACAGTTTTCAGGTGTCAATGAAACTGCTATTTCCAACAAATACACAGCTGTCCTGTGACAAGTGTCTATAACCTGATAGTATTGACATGATGTCCTTTGACAAGGACTGACAAAACAAACCCAAATCTCATCTTTGAAGAAAAAACTTGTAGCCTTTATTCTATGTTTTTAGCTTATTTGCTTTTGTACCTAAAGAGAATGTCAGAATTACTGAAGTTACAAGGGTCTGTTTCTTTCCAACTGCCATGCCACCATTTGAAAGAGCAAACATTCATCGAGGGGTTCAGAATTTTTTTTTAAAGAAAAACTTTATCCAAACTCCGTTACTTTTGATTATTTCATTCAGTGAAGTACAGAAATCCTACCATTTTAATTTTACATATCTTTTCTGTGACTGCATGCAGTATTAGCAAATTGTCCATTTTCTCCAGCTTAGTACAAATGCAAAGTATTTAAAATACATTAGCTGTTTAATTTCTTAATATGATACTATTTTAACATTTAAATTATTTCACACAGTAGCAAAATTCAACTGGCAGGAACAACCAAGCTTCCTGTTTGCAGGAACTATACCTGTTCTATGTGAGAACTACTTCTTTGGATAAGTAAAAGTAGTCTGAAAAAGTGCTTATCATACCTTTAAAAGTATAATTGAGTTTGCAATTAAAATCCATTTTTATGACTAACAAGGTCTTTTAAACTGCTTGAAATATCAATTCCTACTTACTAAAAACAGTTTTCCAACAATATACAGGTGCACAGTGACAAAATAAATTTATTTTTAAGGAGAAAGAAAGTGATGTAAGTATGGTGAAGGAACATGCATAAGATTTTAGACAGATGATGGTGATTATGTATGAAATGGAGTGAAGGCATTACAATTACAGTCAAAAGGGTTCACATTCAGGGAATTCCTGAAGAATGGTGTGGTCATCAGATGTGGGAGATTCTGTTGACATCAGCATCACTTCTGCTTGACACCAGAAATGGTTTTAAAAGCTTGCTGTACTAACATATTAGATTATCACTGAAGGTATGAGTTGAAACATAGGATTATACCTGCTGAAAGAAAACAAATTACTTTTAAGTACAAAAACATCAACGTAACCTGAAGACCGAACTGTTAAAGCACAAATGAAAAGAATGCACAATTATAGTGAAATGCTGTGCATCATTTTAAGCACAAATTTAAAAGATGCAACAACTAACTTTAACCAAATCCAACTGGCTACTCGCAAGTATGATACACAACTTGCCCTGTCACAAGACTAAGCAGAAAAGACACTAAAGAAAACATGAGTTTCAGGCCAGGATGCACATAAGAACCATCAGAACCAGCTTTCCCTAGTCAGAGGCACTGAATAATCTTCAGTTTTATACTCATTCAAAATAAATTATCGGTCAAAAATGCATTTCAAAGCAAAACAGAGCATTTAGATTCTCAAAGCATTCTGACATTAGATCTTTCTTACTACTGCAAATATGAAAACCAGAAAATAAAAAGTAGAAAGCGACATATAAATTAATGATTCTTTTCTCTCTAATACAGCATAACTTTCTGATATTAGAAAGCTTCTGGCTAGCAAATCCCAAAGGTAAGACCAAACTGTGGAGAATAAAAGAGTGCCTAAGAAAAACTGAAAAAAAACCAACAACCTGAGATCACATCTATCAAGAAGAAAAACAGTAACAAAGTAGTTTTCCTTTCATGTCCCTACACACAGAGTAGTACCATGCCCAAATACAACTCCAATCTTACATAAACTCCTAAAATAACCACAAAAAATACATCTGAAGAAAATACTTCCATTTCAGCATTCATCTGCATATTTTGCATATATGATTTTAAATGCCAAAGCAGTAACCTTATCCTTTTCATCCAATGTTAAAAAGTAAACCAGAAGCTACACAGTAGATGTAGGATATTAGAGATATCTAGAAACTCTAGATGTTACCATCAAGACAGACGTGCATTTTTCACATGACAATTTTTAATTCGCATGTTCTTTTACAAGCAAAAACTACAAAGGCATCTATCTTGAACTGGGTATTTGGATTTTTACTACTGGGGTGTTGGCCAAGTCTCTCTACAACAGGAACAGCTCTTCACAGACACGCCAATGAGGTTAAAACTTGACAGTGTATCAGCTCCCAGATTTAAAGCATTTAGAGATATGGGACCTAGAACTGGCAACCTAAACACTTTAGTTTCAGCTTTTATGCACATGGACAGCTAAGAGCAACAACTACCAGGACTAGGTGCAATGCTGCCATCACTGAAGTATTACTGGCTGCTGTAATAAGAGGAAAAGGCAAGTAATACAGTAAGAATGCTTCTCTGCTTCCTGTATCCGTGAGAGGTTTCTTCCAATTGTGTTACGCACAGGGAAGCCAAAAATACCCCATGTCCTTTAACTGCTGAAAAATCTCAAAATCAGATTTTTCTTTGTTCAGATGGAAAAGAAAACAATTTAGTAATTTAACACAGGAAAGTGCTGCATGTAGATGACTACTTAAATGCTTCTGATGGAACTAGTGTTAACAGACATACCAAATTTAAATAGCTAACTGTCAGTTATTTGAAACATTACTTCTAAGTTTTCATTAGGTTTCTAAATGGCACGTAACTTAACCAATGAATAATTAATACAATCTATTGCAAATCTGTATAAATTTCCTCCTGCAAACACTATGCATAATTGCAAAAGACAAACCTTACCATTTACATTCCAAATATTCCAATTACATGTACAGTACTTTCAAAAATTTAATTTTGCAGCCACACAATTTTTTGAAGAATGCATAACCTATCACCTTCACACATCAGCCACTGTTGAAAGGCAGCTCATAACAGACAAGTAAAGATTCGGGGAAGTACAGAATAGTGAAGAATGTCTACTTTTGTTACTGTTCTGTGAAAACAGCTTCTGCTGTACCTATACACTCAGGTCAGCTGAACAGGCAGAGAACAAACTGACTGGGCAGAGCATCCTTTTCTTAGTCACACCAACACAGGCTCTCTAATAGATGGATTATCAAACATGAGCACTTGATTTGTTTTTTAAAACCTGTACATAGAAGACATACAAGCCACATCACATTAAAAAAGTATTGGTTATTTAACTAAAATTTAAGACCTGAAGCACTTTACCGTGTTTTGTTTTAATAAAAGAAGATGCTTTTTCAATTATTTTAGTGATTCATAAAATTTTACAGCTTTTACCTGTTCCTTAATGTCTTGTAACTGTTGCTGCAGCTTCTGTACATCTGCATTGACATTGGTGTTGTCTTTGTCTTTCTGCAAAACTGGAATGTTTCCACTTGCTGTAATTTAGAGAAAGTAAAGATACGTAATCACGCATCAATCTATTAAATAGGAATAATTATTTCCAGTGTACTAACTACAATTCTCAGTTATCCGAAATAAAGCTGGTAAAACATATTTGATAATCTATTTAAATTCACTACATTACTGCAGCTCAATTCATAAAGAACTTCTGAGTTTAGTGGCAATGCTTCTTTGACAAATACTTCAATAATGATGCTCAAAATGCCTGCAGCCCCTTAATATTCTCAGACTTCTTATTTGCCATGAAGTTTCTCCAGTAAATTTTTTTGCACATGTAAAAGATAAAGCCAAATCTTTTCAACTGAAAAGACTTTTTATCCACACAGTTGATTCTATTTGGTGTTCAAAACTGCGTGTTTAGGAAATATTTTGTCCAAAATCTGAACAAGATCAGATTAACATTCCTGAATTTGACTGATTCAGGAAGTAATGTTACTATAAGAAACAGGAAAAACTGAGAAGTATTTCAAATGACAGATTTTAAATTTCCAGTATATTAAAAATCTGATTTTAAGGATTATTATTACATTTACCTATTTAGGAACAGACAACAATGACCTAATATTCCAATTGACATAAATTCAATTCAAACACTGCAGACCGCACATACACACACAGAATAAATTCAAATCATTCATATAAATTATTCAGAGAAGTCACAAGAAGTTTAAAAGCAGGAGATGTAAAACTGAACAGTATGTTATGGCAGTTGCTTGTACCTAGATGCAAATTCCTTTATCAGTCAGTTTTAGAAGCGAGAAAAACCCCAAACATTTACTTGCTCATTTATACAATTACAGTCTTCAAGCTTTTGCTCCATAGGTTATTAATAAGTGGCCAAGAAGTCATCTATGCTTCAGCTTCTACTCCAGATGCTGGAAGCAATCCTTCAGTGTAATGACCAGTGTCACCATCGCATCTGCTGCTACCCATGTAGAAAGTAGTGCAAACAGCAAATGGATATCTTGCTTAACACTGTTTTTAATTACACTTTTCTTTAAACAGGAGAAGAAAGATTTAGGTCATTTAAAAGAATGACAATAAGAAGTTGGTGGGGGAATGTGTAAGAGTATGGTTTTGGAGTCACTCACAAATATCATCAGTGGTATCTTCTGTACCTTTCCCTCCGCAGCACATTATGAAAGGCACTCTTCGCTCGACCACTGCCCGACACTGCACACATTTCTTCATCAAGCTTGCACAATCTGAGAGGACAGAGAACAATATCAACTCTGAATCCTGCTATTTCATTTTCCTTCTTTCCTATCCATGAGCTTGTTTATTCACAGTAACTACATAGCAATGCCATAAGAGATTCTTATAATACAAATAGCTATTTGTGTTCATCTTCACATCATTTTCTGCAAATCACACCTATAAACAATGTCTTGTTTGTGACTCAAAGTAGACCTATTCTGTTTATGTCAACGTATTTCAAGTGAGCAGGTTCCTCTTTCTCCAAATGGATGTCTATTTCACAAGAACTACAGCAATTAAAGAAGTAAAATCACACACAACTGAGACCAGAACTTCCAAGAATGTCTCAACTACTTGCTTTCTTCTTTAAAACAAAGAATCTCTTTACTGTCCTAATACTCCAGGGGTAAACAGGTGTGGCTCCTTATCCTTATAAGAGTAAACCTGTATCTTCTTATATAAACCTAGAAAGGAAGCTGTAATTCTTCCACAAAAGGCAAATGATTATGTCTCATAAATCCAGACTTCTTTAGCAAGACCAAGCAAGCAGTTACTTATGGGAATGATTACCTTCCCACTTAGGTAGATCCTTAGTAAAAAAGACTCCTCTTCTCTAGGCAAATGATCCTTCAGCAAAACCCTAAAATGTCTGGCGACAATGTGATTGATGGCTGCATTCTCATTCATATACTCTCAAAACCACAAGAATTCTGGACATCTCCTATGTCTGATTTATCTCATGTAGCAAAGAAACAAGTGAACCATAACTGGTGGTTTTTCCAAAGATATAAGATGATTCTTTTAAGGGAAGGTATAGCCCTTGTGCAAATCTGTAGATCAGCAAATGAAGCATAATATATATTTACAGTATTATTTTAGAACACCATTTGCACATCTGAATGTCCCCCAAAAAGCTACAACAACGCAATAAAACTAATTCTAATTACTTCAGAAGTTTTAACGATATACAGCAGGCTTCTATAATCTAAACAAGACTACTCACAATTAAATAAATCAGATAGAAGATAATTTGCTTTCTGAATTTTTGAAAATTTCCAGTTTGTCCTCCAATAATTTCATTACCAGCACACCAAGTAATGCCAGAATTCTATCACACCAGAATGTCAAGTAAACTGGACAACAAGTTAGATTACTAATGAGCTTTTAGCAATCTCATTAAAAATGTTCTGTTTCAAGATTACTTCAAAAATAACTTCCTTTCAAGTTTACTTACTCTCACAGGCACACATATGACCACAAGGCTGGAAGAGCACTGCTGCCTTTTTGTCTGAGCATACTACGCATTCTTCAATCTGTAAAGAATAACAAACGCACATATGATAAAAGTTTACCTCCATCTCTCTACGTTAATTTGCTTTTATGCTCTCTTTTGCAAGGCATGTGGACTTCAAGAAGCTCCATCTAGTGTTCTTTTAATTAATTCAGCATGTCAAAATGCAATTTAAATGAGTTATCACACTGACTTCTAAGAGTAGGTATCTGCTGGCAATATTTGTATATTCAGTACACTGATAGGCATGGAGAAGCAGCTAAGACAAAAAAATGTTTCTTTTTCTGTGTTCTCTTCTTCTTTGTTCGCCACATATATTTAAATACACTTACAAGAGACTTCTATAGTAATCTGTTTTAATATTCTGGGTTAGGGTTTCTCAAGCCCTTTAATGTGATGCACTGTATATATCGTGTGACCACGGCCACCACATACCACTCCATACTAGCCTGAACTACCTTTTCCACTTCATAGAACTGTTGTCTAGGTTCATTCATTTCTTAGCCTTGTAGATATTACCGTAAGTTTTTAATCTAGAAGAGTATAAGAGATGTATTGAACAGATATTTCACACTCAATCTAATTTAGCAAAAGATGTCAAAGGACGGTTATTCACAAAGGTTAGCTTTCACCTGGGGAAGCTGATTTCCACAGAGCAGCTTCTTTAGCTAGATGAGCAGCAGTAGAAGCCTTACTTTGCTGCTGTGAATTACCCAGTGGCAGAACCTTTTCACTGACTATAAAGGAAGCCCAGAGAAAAGGAGCGCACACTGTGTTAACATTTCGCCTTTTATAATATGCATGGCAGAACAGTGAATAAGTAGTAAAAATAGGAGAATGAACAGTAAAACCAGTATAAATTCATATTTACAATTCCTATATTTACTCTGAAGCAGGAAAAAAATATACCACAGAAGCAGACTAGCCAAATCTAGTCAAACCTGAACAATAAAAGACATTGCAAAGTGGGGAAAAAGTATGGGGTAAGGTAGGATATGAGTACAGGCAAGCACAAGACAGCAACATACAATGCTGGGACAAGATATCATTATGATGCAAAACTACGTCTATCTAGTGAGACACCTGTAAGGCAAAATACCATTTAAAATATGCTACACTTTTCCTTGACTTTTTTTTTAAATTTTTCAACCAAAACCAGAAAAGGAACCAATAAAACTTTGGAAAATGTTACCTTTGTCCTAGACTGAACTTGTTCTTTACAGATGAGGCATTTTTTCACCCGTGGCGAACACAGAGAACACGTGGCAATGTGTCCACACGGGCCAAACAGAGTATCTCTCTTCATGTCTGAACACACCATACATTCTTCTAAGGTTTCAGAATCGTTGTTGATCATAGATGGACTTCGGGAACCAACCTGACCACTACAAAGAAGCAGTCAAGCTTACTTTTAAGAATTCTTAACGCTACTAATTTAAAATACACATCCATTGGCTTTTAGTCTATACAGTCCTATGCATTCAGGCATCAGTGCATCATCATAAAGCAATCCGAATGGCATTTTCCCAAATACAGAGTTGACACCAGAGTGCAAGGTCTCATGCTCAGATAAGACACTGTACAGAAACAGGTCACACAAGTTAGAACAGTATCTTGTGAATGTAAAAAAACCCTTTCTTCCCATCCTAAGTTTAGTTATTGAGATATACCCTGTAGATTCAGAACTGCCCAGCTTAACAACTTAGTCTTGAATACACTTCCAATACTTAGTAAATGGCAGGCTTGTAAAAGAACTCCCAAACTCTCACAGAGAATTCCCCTCTGATCTTGCTCTTATGCTGCTGCTGACCCAGCAGAGGGAGCGCGTGTTGAACATAACCAGCTCATTCCTGCAGCCCTCACAAGCCCATAAAAGGACTTGTGAAAGCCTTGAGAAAGAACAGCAGCCTCAAGGATGAGGCTGAGAAAGACGGACAGACTCAGACAGAAAGACTCTCAAGAAAATAAGCACCTTACACAGCAGGGCAGCAGTCTCTCTTTGTGGTATTTTGAAAGCACATTTTTGATTTCCATACAGGAATTAGGGATGAGAATCATGCAAGCCAATGGTGGGAACACAACTAGGACAAGCAGCAAGCTAAAACTCCTCATACTGCATGCACTTGGTAACATGACATCTCACTGAAATCAGAAGTCCTAAAGAAGTGCTTCTAAGACATCAGGCCTATCCCCTCCTCCTCTTTTTACAGAATCATACAATCATTCATATTGGCAGGTAACGCAGGAGGTCACCTGCTCAAAGCAGGTTCAACACTGAATTCACACCAGGTTATACTGGGCTTCGCCCATTCCAGGCTTTAAAACTTGCATGGGCAGAGATTTCACAACCCCCCTGGGCAACCCAATGCTTAGCTATGTTTTCAGTGCTTCCCATCCCTTCTACCTTTTCTGGGATGATGTTCTACCAACCTCCGTCTGGACATTGCCACCTTCCCATTCTCCTCCCTCCCATATTAACAGGTATGAAAGTCCTGTAAGACTTGTGCAAGTTTCAACTAATGTATTTGTAAACAGCAGCCAATGTACCACAGAATATTAAGAATTAATTGAAAGTCAAATAAAACCTTGTAGGTTTTAACACTATTGCTAATAAAGACACAATGATTTAAGCACATCAGTTAATCTACAGAAAGCAGAGATTTGGAAACTGCACATCTTATGAATGTACAAACCTGACTTTTTCTTTGTGACATTTAGCTAACGCTTTGCAGAGACTAGGATCAGGGCAGAGATCGAGAGGAGATTGACCCTTCTTGTTACGAATGCTGAGGTCAGCTCCGTTGGCTGCCAGGAAGCAGGCAATAGACGCTGCACTCTTCTTCTCCGCTCCCTGAGTGCCAAGTCCCATTATTAACTGAAAGAAAACAACGACGTAAGCAACTTGAGAGACTCAAAAAAGTTAGGAATAGTCTGGCTACAGGAAAACTACTTGACATGCACACATGCACATACATACACATATGTATAAATCTGTAAGCCCAAGGAAGCGCTTCTAGAACTAAAATCAAAACAACCGTACGGTTGCTTGAGTCAGCTATACTCAGCTTTCCTTTAAGGAACTAAAATTCAGCAAGGAACAGTTCAACTATTGGAGCATTCAATCTCCTGCATGCCTCCTTCACCACTTGTGAAGTGGCTGTCCTTCTATAAACGCACTGTAAAGGGCAAAGTCCCAGTGGGTGCATTCAGAATAAATCTGAAGTACACTCCAGATAATCTTGAGTCCTAAAATGCATCTTTGTGCTGTATACTGACTTTCATTAGTTTCTTTAGATAAAGTTACAATTTAGGCAGCGGCATCATTTGAATCTTGAAGGCATTTTAATGCCTTTTAATTAAAATACCTATATTAAACTAAATTACACTAAGTGAGCCTGGGGAATAAAACAATTCTTTAGAATAAAAAGTACCCTAGACCAAGGAACACTGCATCTGTAAGAAAGCAACTAAAATCACTTTTTTTTGTGATGGTGGAGAATGTACTTCAGAAAATTTCTCCTCCTCCCAGCTGTACAATCATTGCAATGTGCTGGATTAAAAAGTTCAATGAGGATTAAAAGAAATGAGGTTTGCTGCTCTTAGCACCTGAACACAGAAATGCTTTTCAGTTCCACTTTAAAACACACAGGACTTTGTGTACTATCGAGATTGTTTGCTACAAGCATTTTGAATAGTCTATCGAAAAACAGCTGAAGAAACCTGACAAAAATTGTTTAGTTATTACAACAGCTTAATGTTGACATTCAGAGAGAACTACTAAAAAATCCCTGCTAAAGAACTCATTCCATGTAACCTCACTTATGAAATAAAGTCAGAATATGCATAAAAAGTTTGTTTCATATTTTAAACCATGCTCAAAGAAAGAAGTAACAAAAGGTAAATTTCAATGAAGTTGCTGTCCAACCAGCTTTGTCAAATATGATTAACAACTAAAATCTTGCAAGTGAAATTTTTCTTCTTTTTCAGTTTATTCAACTGAAAAACAAAAATCATTATTTCTTGAAGTACTATACTACAAAAGAGGTGCACGACGTGCCTCCATAGGTTGGTATTTTCAGGACAGTAGCCCAAATTTAGTTAAAATTGAGCCAAGCAAAAATGAACTCTAAGATACTAAACATTGAATAATGGAATCACAGAATGGTTTGGGTTGGAAGGGACCTTAAAGCTCATCCAGTCCAAACTCTGCCATGGGCAGGGACACCTCCCACCAGACCAGGTTGCCCAAAGCCTCATCCAACCTGGCTGTGAACACTGCCAGGGAGGGGGCATCCACAGCTTCCCTGGGCAACCTGTGCCAGTGTCTCTGCACCCTCACAGGTGGTGAGAATTTCTCCCTAATATCCAGTCTAAATCTACCCTCTTCCACTTTAAAGCCATCCCCTCTCGTTCTATCGCTACCTGCCCTTGTAAAAAGTCCCTCTCCAGCTTTCCTATAGGCCCCCTTCAGGAACTGGAAGGCAGCAATAAGGTCTTTCCCGGAGCCTTCCCTAAAATGTTATCTGCGGCCTCCCCATCGGGGAATCGAACCCCGGTCTCCCGCGTGACAGGCAGGGATACTCACCACTATACTAACGAGGAACTGCCTTCAGCACTTCTGTATAAGATTTGCTATCACATAGGCTAAAGGAATCTGACATGTCTCCCCCGTCTTTAAAGAAAATAATAAAAACTAATTTTAAAACCCCACAGATTCCATCAACATAACTTAAGTCATATTCACAAAAAGAAAGCCTTACTGTTCCCAGAATAAATTATTAATCCTATTTATCCTCTATTATCCATCATCTGTACCTATACCTGCACTTTTACAGAAGACAAATTACAAATGTGTCCTTGGATAGCTTTAAAGGCCCAGATGCCTGCACATATTTTAGCAGCCTAGATTCGGTCTTTTTTTGATATATGATCTTGGGCCAAAGGTGGTTACTATTAAAACTGGTTACTGATAAAATCTAGTTTATAGCATTTTTACACTACCTTTATTTAAATATAGGTAGATAAGCACAAGTATTGTGCTCACTATTTTCCACAAAATTACATTTTCAAGATAGTCTGATCTGCTGATCATCTTAAAAGAGTTTTCAGGTATATTTTAACCAGGCTTGGAAATCTTTTCCATTTCAGCCACATTTTATGTTGTTACCGCATAAAATTAAGATAAGCAAGTTTACACCTCTTCTCTAAGGACATGTACTTTCCCCACACTACTTAAGCTTCCCAAATCTGTTAGGCAAAAATTGTCTCTGCAGCTAAACAAAGTGTCAATAAATGACCAATAGTCCGATGAAGCTAAACTAGGAGGTACTGGTTGATTGTGATTTTATTTAAACATTAGAACATTTTTAGGTGATCAGAGATATAACCATGAAGGGGTTTTATTTATTTGTTTCTTGTAGTGTCTTCCCCGCTCCCCTTTTTATTTTAATAGAAATAAACCAAAAGTGTAGTGTTTTTTTAAACAAAGGAATAAATGAAACTAGGAAAAAAACCCTTATTCTTTGAAACATAAAATCTCTTAAAATTTAGAAAGGCAGTAGAAAAAACCCCCACTGATTGTGTTAAAAAAATCAAAACACAACCACCTTAGTTTCATTGTGGATGCCACTAATAAGATGAGCAGAAAAACCTATTTATGAAATGCTGAACCAGAGAAAAAGTATTCATCTCCTGTTCATTCATTTCACAATTATGTATATGCACACAAAGTATTTAAGCCACCTCTCACAGAGTCCATTTCAGATCATGGAAACAACTGATCCGTAATTGTTTTCATCCTCTCACAAGCATTTTCTTACATACACCAGTCACATTTTAAATCTCTTTTCAAAGGTTATTCCAGTGTATTTCAATGAGATTAAGTAACCAGTCTGAAAAACATATGTTGTACAGTGCAATTACTGTTTTGAACAAAGTGGGTGGAGGTTTTTTTCCATGAAATGCAAAAAACCACCCACAGATAAAATTATAACAAATATCATGACACTGTTAACTAAAGATTCAGCAAATCTGATACACCATTATATTGTGCATCTTCAACATTTTAAGCAAAAATTGTTGTTCAGTTATCTCAGTCCCAATCACTCCAGTACTTCTCCTTCGCCTATCGCCAAAACATCATCTTTACATATGGTGTTCACACAGCTTTTTGGGTGTATTTCTTTTTTCAAGAAAACATTTTGATCTTTATTACCTTGAGGTTTTTTTAACTATTTCCTTACTACAGCACAATTTCTGAAATGAACTCTGTCAGAAAGATATGTAACAATAAACATGCAAGGATTAAGAATGCCTTATTCTAACAGAATAAACTTTCAGAAGGTTATAATAGCAGCTAAACAACGAAAGCTGCAAAGACATGCAAGATGCTGAATCACAGAAAATGTAATTTTAGTCTTACTCTGTACTGTAATACTGCTTATTTCTCTTTCCTAGAAAGCTACTTTTGATTTTTATTGGCAGCCATACGTATTCACTATGAAACACAGATTTGTAGAAATATGCTGAACTAAATAACCCATATTTTTCTTTAACAAAGACAATGACTACATGTGAAAAGCCACATGTAACAGTATGATTTCTGCCTATACTGCAGTCTAATGCAGAATGTCCACATAAACTTATGCTGCCAAAAACCAGTTCAACAGTACAGAGCCAGACAAACTAGACAAATCAAGAGACAAATGGACAGGAAAAAAAAGGAATAAATAAATGCATTTTATTTACTGTGTTCTTTGATGGCTCCCAAGCAGTATCTACCTTGCCCACATCTTGCATATCTTGGAGTTGCCGGAGCTGTGACAGGGTGTGGTGTCTCAGGGCTTCATGCAGGGGAGTATCCCCATCTTTATCCTGAATATCCAGTTTAGCACCTGCACGGACTAAGAGCTGAAACGAGAGAGAAACCAACCCAAAACTTTAAAAAAAAAGTTTTTTATTCCTTTTGAAGTTAATTTCAGTGAAACTATGGTTTAGGACACTCTAGGAGGTCCAAATGGGTTATTCTTCTATCTTGCTACAATTCATAGTTGAGTTTATTTAAATTTATTTTCCATACTTGAAGCTCAACACTCAACTGAAGCATTTTTCCTTTCAATTATCCAGGTTATTTCAGCAGAAGCCTAATGCTTTTGCCTGTGCTCTCAGGGAGCGCTACAAGAAATGCTATTTTAGAGGATGCTTTCTACTATCCCAAACTTTTAATTCTTACAAGATAGCCTACAAACACTATTACAGCAATATATCAGAAACACAACAACTGGGCAATACTTTAGGTATGTATATGATCTTTACTAGTAGGTTTCAGCGACCTCAAAAATCACCACTTTCACACCATGCTAAACTTTACAACTCAATTTACAGTATCCTCCCATTAGCAAAGTAGTTAAGCAGGTACTTAGGTTTATCCTTATTCAGCAGAAGACAAAAACCACTGACACTATCAGAGTCTATCGGAGCACTTTGGAAAGCAATGACGTGCAAGACTCGTCTTTAAGGCTAATTTTAGACACATGTTCCAGCTCACACGACATGAAAGCAAGCACAAGGCCACACAGGCCCTCCTACTGATACTGCCTTTCCATACAGCCCTTCCATAATTTGATGCACCAGAATTTTCTTAAATACACTGTTAAACAAAACAAATCAACACATGCTGACAAATAACAACTGCCCCTAAAAACTGAACCCTGCCACTGTCACTATTCAGAAACCTGTAGACAGCAGCTGAGGTTTTAACTTTAGTTCTGAGCTTTGGCTACTCTGCAAAATTGGGATTAGCAGCAGAGACAAAAGGCACAGCCTAGAAACAGGAACACATGAAGTTGGATCTCCCTCTTCCAAACCCATATGCTTGCAAGGATCTCAGCCCCTCAGAACCAAAGAATCTCAGACTAAAGGCTAAAAGACAAATAGCTTCAAGGGAATTCAGAACTTAATTTTCAAGGAAATACCTGTCTGTGATTGACTGCAGCTTACTATTTTCCCCAGTCTTTTCTTCCACAAGTAAAAGCAAGAAAACCAGCTAATATCTGCAACAGTCTACCCCCAACTTCTTACACCCTCTAAATGGACTTACTCTGGCCTGATTTCTCTCTCTCATATTCATATCTTGTGTCTGCCACTAGCTAATTACTACTTAAGAGTTTCTCCTGGAAGCAAATCTGTAACAGAACTCTTTTCAGAACAACCCATGGCTACCATGGAAATTCAAAGCCTTTGCAGAAGTTAAAAAATAAAGAAAATAAAGAATAAAAAAGCAAACTGCCACTTTTTGTCATGGCAGCAGGGCTTTTAAAAGAAGCCTGCTACCTTTGACCACTATTCCACAGATGCCTGAGCATACAACCCAGCCCTGGAAGGTACCCAATAGGAATTAGTTTTTAAATACAGAGCCAACATGTTCTTTGCATGGCTGCATGAGTTATTTTAGGACTTCTCAGAGTTAATCCAGCTCTGAAGTACGGATACTCTACAGGGCCATTCACTAAAACATTCGCAGATATAAGCACGTCAGTCCAACACACACACTAGTTCTTCTACATGCCTACCTTCCTGCTCAGCTGCTACATTAGTATTGTATTCCCAGGTACTGTGTCAGTTCCAGAAGGGCACGAGAGCTCACCAAATACAGCTGCCAAATAGCTTGCAGGATGCAAGTGACACTGACTCTAGGAAACCATTCTTTTGGTAGCAAGCAGTTCCAGATATAGGGCCGTATCGCATGTTTCACTGTAATGGGATCACATCCACCACCCCTTGGAGATGGAGAAACCTTATGGCAAAATAACACTAAAACAGAACCGCAGATGTAGTTCTGTGCTTGGGGGACAATTCTCCTGAAGAAGAGACAATTTTTAATATAACATGACTCTCACTCTACAAAGACACATTAAAAAAAATTACGCAGAGGGCCAAGGCCAGGTTGTTGTATTCACTTGTAGGGAACATCTCCTGCAGCAGTGAGTGCTCTCTCTGGGCCTCAACAGCCTACGCCAGCAATCTAAACACTAAGTCGCGTAGGTCCCGAATGGACAGTGTACACAGGTCAGAATGGACAAGCTGTGCCACACTCCCATTTGCTGTGCCAGTAACAAAGTTTTACTCAACTGAAGTATTAACTTTTGCAACCATACGAGAAAAAACAGAAAGAGCATTACTTTCCCTGGTAAGGTACTTCTGTTATTGCTTATAGCTCTCCCAAGCCAAGAACAGGGAAAGTTACACACTCAGATGACTGAAAAGTAGTTAAACTCATAAAACCACGTTTCACTTAGCTACAATTTGCAAAAGCTACGAGCAAGAATAATTACTCATAAAGCAAGAGGCATCAAAAACGCCATTTTTAGGTCCCATTATAGGACCACAAGACTCAGATAAGTAATAGAGGAACACTTCTCCCTTACTCAACAGGGAGGGATGCTGGAATTGGCAACCACATAGAGGAAACCTTAGCGTACATGTACAAAATTTAGCACTCCTGAAATGTCCTTCATATTGCAGATCGACCTTCTGCGCAAGATGGCAGGTTTCTGAATGGATCAAAATGAATCATACAGACATTCAATGGCTATGAGATGTTAAATCATTTTTCAAATGCTCACAAAGTACTCATGTCTTCTTAACAGCCACAATCCCAGCTTGAGTCAAGTACCATTAACCATGCAGCTTATTGCAAATAAGATACTTACTCTAACAATTTGTGTGTGCTGTCGTTCAACGGCAAGGTGCAGAGCAGTTTGCTGGTTGACATTCTGGATATCCAGGTTAGCACTGCCCTGAAACATTCAAAGCATTAGAGTGTTATCACCCCAGCAATTCATCATTAGGGCACTGAATACAACCCTGAATATGATTCCTAGTTTGGAGATTTGAGAGAAGTGATTAAATACTTTAATTATTCACTGTACAGATGTTGATCTGTTGACTCAAACTAGGTATCAATTTTTTTCAGTCCCTCTGCACCATTAGACCACTGTAATGATCTCAAAGGCAAGTCTGACCTTTGGAGCTCACCATGTGTCCTTCCGTGCTCCATTGCTTCAGCATGGTTATTGCAGGCGTAAAGCAGCAAACTATTTTCACATCAGATGGTTAACTGAAGTGTGACATTTAAATCCTCCTGAGAAAAGAGTCTTACCTGATGCACCAAAAGTTCAGCCACTTCCACATGATTATTGAGAGCTGCCAGATGCAAGGCAGTGTAACCATCATCTTTTTTCTCGTCAACAATCCACGGTCGTGGTAACTTGGACAACAATACACGCATTGCACTGAAATAAACATGCAGAGACAGCAGAAATACACATATAATGTATCTGTTGAATGACAACAGGACAACAGTAAAACAATATTCATTCTCAGAAGTACAAACTAGCGGTAGCTAAAATAACATTAGTATTTTTTCAAAAAGAGAAATTAGGTGAAAAACTATACTGAAAGTTCCAAAGCATAATCATTTCATATTCAGCTCCTTCTGGTTAAAGAATACAAACCATACCATATTCAAAACAAGTGTGCGAATCAGATTTTTCAAAAGAATGTTATCTAGCAGTAAAAATTACTTTAAAAAGTATTCATACAAATTCTGAAACAAAATCCTTATAGCATCCTTTACTTAATTATTTAATGATCAAGTTTCACTACATTAGATTTCTTTAAAATTATCACTATAAACTGATGCCAGGGACTGTAACAGTTAAGACTTCCAATTTCTGAGATAGAATAAGACCTCTTAGGCACAGACAAAATAAATGCTGAATCTGTGAAGTGGATTTCAGTAGAATATTTGCCTAACAGATAGTGGCAAGTATAACATTGCCACAGCCATGTCCAGTACTCCACCCCACACTTCCCTGTGTGCTTACAAAGGTGCCTACCAAAGAAAGGGGATTCATTGTCTTACACCTCAAATTCAAGGGTAGGGAAACGCAACTCGATTACTAGAGTATTAAAGCAAACTAAAATCCATGAAGTCTAAAGTCTGCAGCGTTAAGAGTATTAACAACACAACGCTAGATAAACAAATTGCTCAACCTTGTATTCTCTCAGAAATACATTTTTCATAAGTTCACGTGTCTTTACTTAACTTTTGGAATAGATAAGTAACCAAACAATTTCCTTATTGCCTTATCTTTATAAACAGTACATGCAGCTCCCTTACGACAATTCCTCAAAGACAAACAGAAAACCAGAAACCACTATAATCTTGTGCCAGGAAATCTCTTCTGTCATCTGATTTTTCCCTGTGGTTGAAGCAACATGCTATTTGCAGAAGAAACACAGCTTTTTCACGAAATTCAGACTTAAAAATCCAAGTAATACTAGCCAATGTGAGCAGAACCACCCAGTCACAGAATGCTTTGTAAGGTAGATACTATAACTGAATTAAACAGCTCTTCATTAGCCAGCTGATATTGAAAATATGGGATGCCAATAAGCCTCAGAAACAGCCTCGTAAGATGAGCCTCTCAGCTTTTACTTAAAAATATTCTCAGATAGCAATAAAATGACTGCACTGTCAGGTAATAACTGAGCTCCTAATTAATTCCAATAACCTGTTACCTTGAATATCCACACTATGTAAGTCCTATTCACTTCTAAGATCTCTCTTAGAGTAAGCCAACAAGTTTCCTACAGAACAAACAAGCAAAACGCTGTGGTTCTGGAGTTAGCTCACTCCAATAAGCCCTCCTGAAAAGCAGAAGTTAAGAGTCCATGAGGTAGACTACCGTACCAGTAAGAAAGTGCACTTTCCCCCCTAGATTCAGAGTGTCTGAAGAAATCACACCTAAGCAATTGCATCTCCAGGCCACGGGATCACACAGGCCCACAGGAGACCCACAACCAACTCCGACTGCATCCCCAGCCAGGCTGCGCTGGAGGTTTGTCCTCCAGAGTGGACATAAGCACCAGGAACCAAATGCATTTTGCAGTCTGTGGGTTACCTCAGTCTTTTTCAACTCCTGCATAATCACAGCTTCCTTGAGGTAAGCAAATAAGTAAGAAACCATTCTCAACCTCTTCGGATTTTTTGTTTTCCTGGCAGGACTAAGTTTCTCACTTTCTCACAGTCCGAATCACTCACAACACAGCGAAATAAGACAACACCACTTAACAGATTGTGCATTGCTCATTGTGAACCATTGCTCAGCTTCTATTCATAACGCCTTCTACAGCTCTGTCACGTGCTGGGACATAAAGAGACCAGAATATCTGGAAAAAACCCAAAACACCAACATTAATTCTTTGAGAGATTCACTTATGCAGGAGTTTCCAAAATTAAGGATATAATTTAGTAAAACACAAGGTACCAAAGGCATTAATAAACATTATTTATTTTGTAATTGAACTATGTCTTTTCAAACCTAGGAAGTAACTATGTCCATCTTTCACAACATCAGAACTGTTTCTAGCTGCCTTAGAGAGGAAACAAGTCTGGAGCACTGTGGTTTGCATCATATCTGGGCTGTACCTGGGCACACCACCACATCAGCTCCATAGAAAGCTGGACTGACAGAGGGCAGGCCTCAGGAGCACACCATGCCGGCATAACAAGACTGTCTACTTTCTACAGTGGCTTCCCACAGGGTATCGTGTCATGTAAGTTCTTTATCTTCATTCACCTGCTCACTCAGTGGTTCTAAAGACTCCATAAAGCTCTGGAGTATCTACTGTGGACCATCTAAAAAGCACAACAAAAACTACCTGAAAATTCCTTATGACCGACAGAAGCAATACGACCACTGAGTGACTGGTAAAAGGTGGGGCAACAATAACGTGAGAAAAAGCTGAAGGTCAAGAAACTTTGTTTACAACTACAACTTGAAGAATGCAATGGAAAGACACCAACACTCAAATCTCAAATTATAGCCAGTGTGTCTCCAAAGTAGCTCCAGTCACTGAACAAGTAACTGTCCTAGTCAACTCAGATGATGTTTTATATCCTTTTCTTCAGAAAGGAAATACAGAAACTGGCAACTCAACAGAAAAATAAAACAAAATTTGAAGTATATTCACACTTTAACAGATGCATCAAGAGGTGAATATACTCCAGAAACATTACTGTTGCCATTTCTTTAACACTTCTCATCATCAAAAGAAAAGTAAGAAATTAAGACTTACTATTCTGTTTACTATGAAGAAATTCACTCATCCTAATATCTGCAAGATGGCTGGCCTTACCAGATCCTCTTTCAAATCTTCTTCTGTTTAGTTTGCTGTCAAATACCAGGAAAAATGTCATCTGAAGTTTAACTGTAAAATGTTTGGGGGCATCTTGTTTTCACAGAAATGAGATGCCTGCTGCACTTTTGGATGCTTTTAAAGTGCATTAGTCCTACTTAAAACACAGGAGGACCAACAAAATTACTGGACAGCAGGACAGAAGGACGGTTGTATGGACGTAACACCTTAAAATTCTACAAGACATAAATATGCTAGAAATGTCAAATTCTTTTATGATGCTCGGTGACTGTGTCCTCCTTCTCATTAGCTGAGAGGTAGTTTCTTTCAATGCACGAGATCCTGTTCTTTCACACTGCTGCCATTCTTCCTACAGCTACTCTATTTTGCAGGATTTTCTAGAGCTGCTGCCAAAATTTTGACAGCTAAGTGGCTACCATTCAGAACAGTACTCACTGGAACAGGCATGCATTGTATCAGAAAAAGTTGTATTAATGAATAAATGTTGCATGCCAACTACACAGCAATTCTTGATTTACTGTGAGGATGGTGAGACACTGGCACAGGTTGCCCAGGGAAGTTGTAGATGCCCACTGGCAGTGTTCAAGGCCAGGCTGGACAGGGTTTTGCGCATCCTGGTCTGGTGGGAGGTGTCCCTGCTCATGGCAGGGGGGTTGGACCGGATGATCTTTAAGGTCCCTTCCAATCCAAACCATTCTGTGGTTCTGTGATTCACTTTTCCACACCAACTATTAAAGAAGCCAAGTTGTACTGCTCTATTTTCAGAACCACAACATAGATGTGGTCCTGAAAATCTGCTTTCACCTTGTATACATTAAAACAGACCACAGACTTTCACATTTACTGTATTGAAAAGATCAAGAAATCAGCAAATCTAATGGTAAGCCCCGACCATGAAATCAGCTGAAGAAAACTCTTCAGATGATCATCTTCATTGCATTCAACTGCTACAGATTACATGGCTAATTGAGCAGCTCCAAAGATTAATTATTGATAAGATGCCAAAAACTCTTATTGAAACACTGAAATTATGTCATTGCTGCGCTATTTAAAGATTAGTACTAAAGCATTACTAGTGAAAAAAAAAATCTGTAACTGTTAAGGTTTAGCATTTATTGGGCTGCAGTATCCTCAGATTAGCAGGGTGCAGATAAAGATTTTGGGCCTTTTTCAGCTGGATGATCTTTTGCAAGTTCTGAAATTTTCTAGATGGGACAACAAAAGAAAAACTTCAGTGAGAATTTTTGAGAAAGTTGTCTGTAAAGCTTTTATGGGAGTGAGGAAACTATCAGGTTGGCCAAAAAGTAATTGTGGGTTGGTTTTTTTTCTGAGTAAATGAAAGGCGTATTTTTCATGGGAAACAAAAACTGTATTAAGCAATATATTGTCCATTTCGTTCAGTTACCTTTTGCCACCTTTCAGGCAGCTTCATGGTTTTGCACTCAAAAAAGTTCTTAACTTTTGGCAAAAAACAGTTCCAAGAACAATTTGATATCCTCATCAGCAACAGCGGTTTTACCATTCAAGGCGTTTTGTAAAGAACAAAACAAATGGTGGTCTGATGGTGCCAGGTCTAGCGAATATGGTGGATGTGGTAACACATCCTATCCAAGCTGCAGCAATTTTTGACAAGTGACCAAACCTGAATGTGGTCTAGTGTTATCACGGACAAACGCAACATGTTTGCAATTCACCAACTCTGGATGTTTCTGTTTGATGGCATCATTTAATTTGCCCAGTTAGCAACAGTACACACCCAAATGAATGGTTTGGTTCCCTGGAAGCAATGCAAAATGCACAATACCTTTGAAATCCCACCAGTCTGACAGCATCACCTTCCTTTGGTGAAGATTTGCTTTTGAAGTGCTCTGAGCTGGTTCACCATGCTTGCTCCGATCTTTCTTTGTTGTTGTTGTACAAGATCCATTTTTCATCGTCTCTTATCACACATTTCAGAAACGGATCGTTTTCTTCACGATTCAAGAGAGAATTGCAGATGTCAACGCACTTAGTGAGATGAATTTCTTCAAGCTCATGTGGTATCCAAATACTGAGCTTCCTAATGTAT